AAAAAAAAAAAAAAAAGAATGCCTATTTCAGCCCTAGCAATGAAGAAAATTATCATCTTGAAAGCTTCATTTTCAAAATGTCATTGAAAATTATCACAACAAATTGTAGCATTTTATCATTATCACCTATCACCTTTAACATCAATGGAATATATTGAAACCAACCAATTTTCAAAATATGAAATGTGGTGATTATTGCAAATAAAATTGCTTCAAAAGGGTCCTCTCTAACTGGAGACTCAGGAATCTTCCTTATTTCTCTTCCTAATCCTTGCGATTCAACCGATAGAATCGTGTGTGCAGGTGATTTTACTTCTCCCGCACCTTGAGTCCATCTCTCCTCTCTCTCTCTGCCTGCCCAGATGCACCCTTCATGAACCAGTCCTCTGCATGCCACCTTGATTCTCTCAACTCACTCCACACAACCAATCTCCAGAAGAATCGTTTTAAGCCTAACTACTCACTTTATTGCATAAACTCTTCAGTTGTTCCCTATGACCTACAGGAAAAATTCAAGTTCCTTAACTGAATATATAAGGCCTTTCATAAGGTGTCCTTCCTAGGCTCAGAGCTCACCCCTTTCCTGTGCATACTTGAAACTCCCTCTGCAGAACCATTTGCATATCCTCAAACACATCCTATCTTTGCATACACTGATGTGCTTGGACCTCCCTGCCTTTCTTGCTACTCCCTCCTCTGCCCCCTGCCCTTTCCTAAGGACTCCCTTAACAGAATTCTCATCGCCCAAGCTCCAGTCATGCTTCCCCAGAACATAGCCTTCCCTGCCTCACCTCCAATAAGCTAAGTTCCTTCCGGTGTCTGCCTTTTGAATACAGGCAGTTAGAACACCACTGGGCCTTGCTATTGGGCACCTGCATATTTCCATGTTCATTTCTCTCAATTCATTATGAACATTTTAAGGACAGAGATGAGGCATATTTTCTCTTTGCACTTTATGGCATAGTAATCAAGTGAACAGAAGAGTGTCAAACCCTTAAGTGGTCATCTTGATCTCCGAAAGTTTTAACGTTGTTACTGGTTAACGTTCGAAGCAAAGATTTAGGAAGCTGTAGTACAGTGGTTATCATTTGTTCATTGGTAAAAATGGGGTGGCTGTGAGGATTAGATGAGTTAAGACATGTTAAGTCCTCGCTCGTGTTCTCTGCTGAGAACCATGCAGTAAGCAACTCTGTAAATCACAGATGTCATCACTGTTGTCATTGTTATTAATGTGCTTGGAAGTCAGTAGTTGCTCTTCTTTAACTTGGTCACCTTGCACCCCAGACAAGGTAAAGATATTACTCCAATAACAAGAGAAAGTGGTCATGAAGAGCCTATTTGTGAAAGCTGAATGAAACCTAGAAATAATTGAAGAATCCCCACAGATTTATTCAATCTATGTTGTCCATTTCCTATTGAATAATATTCATAAGCCTTACTCTGGATGTCAAGGCAGGCCTCCATGATCTGATCCCAACAGACCATGTTTGCCTTAGTTTTCGTTAAATCCTTTCCATGTTTGCCTTAGTTTTCATTAAATCCTAAGTTCCACCCCATGGACACTCCTTATTCCCCCAAGATCATTTTCCTTGATTTCTTTTGTCTTAAATCTGTCTTGTTATTATATTACTACCTGGGCTTCATATTTACATATACAAATTGTTTCTCTCTTTCAAGGGTCCCCTTAGAAATCATGCAGTGGTGTCGTCCAAGTCTTCTAAGGCTTCTGTTTGCCCAGTGACACTGGCATGTCACATGTACTGTAGATCCCTTCCTATAATTCATCAATTCTATGATCCATCATAGTCATTTCTTTCCTCCCTTCCTATAGTTGAAGCCTTAGATTAGGAGTCAAGAAGCTTATCTCTAGTCTGAGTATATAAGTCATATAATTTCCCTGAGCCTGAGATGTCTCATCCTTTAAAAAGCCTATTTTGGATGATTTCTAGATTCTCTCCCTATCTGTAACATATGAACACATAAATATTGCCTACTGAGTCACAAGACAACTTATTTTACTTTTTTTAATTTATTTTCTTTTCAACCAAAACCTGGCAAATATCCAATAACTAGGGCTAAACCTAAAATTAAAAATTATTGATCTAAAATAATTTAAGCATATAAAATAGTCTCTTTACCCAAACTGAACTAAACAAGTATTTCATTACATTTAGAATTCAATTTCAAAAACAAGATACACATTTTCCTGGACCAAATATAGTATCTTTCCAGGAAAGTAGCATATTTTTCTAAATATTAAAAAAAAAAAAAAGGAAACTGGAACTAAGAGTTTAGGAATAAAGGTGATCATTTGATCTTGAAAAACAGTGCCTTTGTAGGCATCACAGGCCAACCACTACAGTAGTCAGAGAAGGTCAGTATAAGCAGGATTACAGTCAGCCTTAAGAAAAAAACTCAACACAAAGGGAGATTTCAAAGCTCAAAGGAACTAACCACCTTTTGCAAAACCACAGAACTCACTGCAACAGTGTAGCCAGACTCTGACAAGCTTCCTGTTTGTTTTCCAAGGTTGGCTTGTATGTTTCACTCTTTCATGAAATTCTTTGACTTGGTAGTAGATGATTTTTGAACCTCATTATTCTTAGGACCTGAATTTATAAGAGTTTCCTTGGCAGCCTGCCAGGAGGTAGGAGGAACATTCTTGTTAGCTCTCTTGTGCAACCTCTCAGAAGTCTTGGATATTGCGTGGAAAAGCCAAGACTCAGAAGAGTCCAAAGGGAGGCACCTAGCTTTAGAACTGCCAGAGAGATTCAAGAGGAGTAGAGAGAAAATGAAAAATACATATACAGTCTAGGTAGTAGAATGAAATCTACATAAATATACACTTATTTATATAATACATGTAGGTTATGGATATTATTTATTCATATTCTTATACCACAAATATACTGCACATATTTTTATGAGGTAATAATATATAGTGAACTGAAATATACAATGAAGTGAGTGTTTCACATATATACATATATAATTATAATATATAGTATGTGCATACACCAGGGGTGTCGAAAAATATATACACATTTGAAGAGATGGTATCTTCTTCTTCACAGCTGCCTTGCAAAAAAAAATGTGCTTGTCCCCACTTTAAAACAACATTTTTAAGGACATACTCAGAAGGGTTGACTTGCCCCATGTCAGGCAACAAGTGATGAATCAGGAATTGGAACCATGGTCTTTTTTATTCCAAAGCCCGTGAATCCTTTTAAACCCAGAGAGCCAACATGCCACAGTTAACTGACAAAATGAATACGGGGAAGTCATTCCTGCTTCTCTCCTCTCTAAGGGGCCAAGACAGCAGAGGGTGGCTGACTTCAGGACCGAGCTTGGGGTTGGGGTTGGGGCCGGCCTCCACCATGGTGTTCCCCGCAGGCTCCCCTGCTCACAGCTTGTCCTGAGCATGTGTTCTGTCTCTTTATGTAGGGTGCTCCAAAGTGACCTGCATCAGCTTGACCCGGGAGGCTTCCATTAAACTGTCCCCCTTGCATGGCAAACAGATTTCCATCCGCTACCTGGACATGACGGACTGCTTCGTGCTGGAGGACGAAGGCCTGCACACCATCGCGGCGCACTGCACACAGCTGACCCACCTTTACCTGCGCCGCTGTGTGCGCCTCACCGACGAGGGCCTCCGCTACCTGGTCATCTACTGCACCTCCATCAAGGAGCTGAGCGTCAGCGACTGCCGCTTCGTCAGCGACTTCGGCCTGCGGGAGATCGCCAAGCTGGAGTCCCGCCTGCGGTACCTGAGCATCGCCCACTGCGGCCGGGTCACCGACGTGGGCATCCGCTACGTGGCCAAGTACTGCAGCAAGCTGCGCTACCTCAACGCGAGGGGCTGCGAGGGCATCACGGACCACGGCGTGGAATACCTAGCCAAGAACTGCACGAAGCTCAAGTCTCTGGACATCGGGAAATGCCCTCTGGTCTCCGACACGGGCCTGGAGTGCCTGGCCCTGAACTGTTTCAATCTCAAGCGGCTCAGCCTCAAGTCCTGCGAGAGCATCACCGGCCAGGGCTTGCAGATCGTGGCCGCCAACTGCTTCGACCTCCAGTTGCTGAATGTCCAGGACTGTGAGGTGTCCGTGGAGGCCCTGCGGTTTGTCAAACGCCACTGCAAGCGTTGCGTCATCGAGCACACCAACCCGGCCTTCTTCTGAAGGGACAGCTTTCACCCGGTGTTGTTTTCATACAAACGTGAACAAAACAAAACAAAATTTTTTTTTTGTTAAAGCCGCATATGTAAGCACGACACCCACTCATAACAGCTCTTTTTTTTTTTTTTTTTTTCTTTCCTTCCAGGAAGGTTCTTAGGAATCTGGCTTTTATTTTTCCTAATTTCTCATGGGCAACAGAGGTCAAAGAAACCAAGTGGGGATGGGATGAGGGAAACAGATTGCTATTACGACAGACAGCTTTGGGGGTTGGGTCGTTTGAAGGTAGTTTCTCTTCTCACAAAAATTGTATTTCAGCAGACTGGTTGCAGTGTCCTGAGAAATGCATCTTCCTCTCCTCCCTCAAATCCCCCAGCCCCCACCCTCCCACACACAGCCCACATCCCTAAAGCTCCACACCTGTATCCTCCAGCCCCATCCCCTTCCTTCCAAGAACAACCACAGATGATCAGAATAACCATGCTCTCCAGATTTCCTCTTTAAGCTGTTTGATTGGCCTAAGCCACCCGATTCAATCCCAAACCCAAGTAAGTTCTGGTTAACTAAATGCCATAGCACTTTGCATACGCAAAGTGCTTTCCAGATCTTTTCTAAAAATCCATTACAGCAAGCAGCATGGTGGAAGAAGAGATCTGCTTTCTTCCCCCGGCTCTGCCATTGACTAGCTGTGTGACCTTCGCTGAAGGGCTTCACTTCCCTGGGCTGCAGCTTCCTGCACTGATTCAGAGGCCATGCAGTGCAAGGATTAGCTTCGTGTTTATTTCAGAATTGAGAGAGCAGAGATACCAATAAACAGAAGCACCTAGGCAAAAAGCACACAGGCATGTGCCTCTTCCAGGAGAATTGATCCTGTAGATGGGGGGGCTGTGCTTTCAGGAGTGCCAACAGGTCAGTGCACAGAGCATCCTATGTGTCCTTTGGCTCTTATCTGAGCATCACCCACATCCTTGTTTGTTTCAGTGATGAGTCTATTGCACATCTTCTCCTGCCCATCTGGATGCTATAGCTTCTGTATACAAGTACTTTCTGTGTTCCCCCACTCCATGCCACCTTAGCAAGGCAACAGAATGCCTAATCACAGCAAAGCCTGGACCTCCCCCCTTCCAAAGTCCAACTGCTTTTTCTCAGTGTTTTCAAACAGGAGGAAAGACCCTCACAAGTTTTAATTAACAAGTAAGGCCCAAGGGAACACATGTCCTCAAAGGTTTTTCTAATCCCTCGTCCTGCACACCTGGCGTGCATCAGGCACATCTGTCCTGCAGCTGGCAGGGACAGATGCCTCGGTTCTTTGTCATTCAAATCGCATTTGGACTCTTCTCATCTATTTATTTCTTTATGCATCCAGACTTCATCACATGAAGCCTATTGGGGCTAAGTTTGTAAGAATTTAATTGTGCAAATTGCCACCTTGTGTGCTCCTCCGTGGCTGTCTGCATGTTTGCCATCAAAGAATGCAAAGCAGACTTCCAGGTGTTTAAATTCTGTTCACTCAAAAAATGCCAAACAAATGGAAAAGGGAACACAGTGACCTTTGGAATAGAACATTAAAATCATGACAAAATATGGATTCTATATGGGTAGAATTTTAAATCGTTCTATTTGGGTAAAAATCTGTATGCTAACCTCACATGTGTGGAATCAGATAGCCAGAAGAGATTCCATCACTCATTTTTATGAAATTCAGTTGTCCTTTGTTAATAAACACATGACCCCTCCCAAATTATCCTGTGGCCAAGGCCCTTGTTCATCACTGTTGAATCAGCTCATTCACTTCCTTCTGGTTGCACCATCCAAACCCAGAGCCTCCACATCTCTAAACCGACCATGCTACATTTGTTTCCGACCAAGTTTACACACCCTCGACAACTGCACACCCACTGTAGGCTCCTGTGTGTACTTTTGTCTTCTGTTTGGAAGGAGGTAGCATGATGAGCTGATGTCTTCCCTCGACCCCTGTTCAGTTGAGTAATCATTAACCAAGATGTGTAATCAAGGCTCTTTGCCATGGGGGAAATGGCTTGTTTAGCAGGGGACCATTTCTGGTGATGACCACAGAGCTTAGAACCATGAACGAAGTTGAATGTAGCATTTCCCTACTTCGTACTCCATGACTTGTGACCTATCTGAAGTTTCAGGATTTGAGAGTCACCAAGGATTGTCCTGAACCTTTGGCACTGAGGTCTTCTAAGTGAGCTGATTTATTATGTTCAGAAAGACCCAGAATGGCTTCCTGAACCATTATTAATATCTTCCTACCACCCCTGACCACATCACCTACACTGCCTTTCAAGCATGAGACAAAGCCAAGTTTTCACACTGATTGCCCAGCACATGTTGTCCTACCCAGTTTCTCCTTTTTATTCAGTTTCTCTTCATTCATTCTGTTCTCCCTTTGGGTAGGAATCTCTGAGGGAGGTTGCGGGGAAAACAGCTCAGCAGATTTTGAGAAACCAAGCAAAAGACCTCACTAGGATATTTATCTGTTTTAAAACATTACTTCCTTCCTGGCTCTGCTAAACTGAATGCTCATTGTTTTGTGTTTTCTTTTCTTTTCTTTTCTTTAATTTTAATGTTCAAATCACTGCGTGCTGTATGACTCTAGAAAGCCTTAATTTACTACCACCAGGAAATAAAGCAATATGTTGGTAATCAGGCTCAGCTTCATTTTTAATCCTCTTGCCAGAGGAAAGTGGTCTTCAGGTGGGGGCACTCAAAAGTGAGTGAGGACTGGGCTTGGTGGCTCAGCCTGTAATCCCAGCACTTTGGGAGGCCGAGGCAAGTGGATTGCCTGAGCCCACGGGTTCGAGACCCACCCAGGCAACTTGGTGAGACCTCGTCTCTACAATAAATCAAAAATTAGCAGGGCGTGATAGCACACACCTGTAGTTCCGGCTACTTGGAAGGCTGAGGCAGAAGGATCGCTAAAGCCCAGCAGGCTGAGGCTGCGGTGGCCGGGAGTGTGCCACTGCACTCCAGTCTGGGTGACAGAGTGAGACTCCAACTCAAAAAAAAAAAAAGTGCATAAGAAACTTGCTTTATGTTAAAAGACAGGACAAGCCCAGTCACTGCTGCTGTTACCTATTTAAAGTTGCATCCGTGGTTATGTCATCTCCCTTTGCCGAACAACTTTGGTTTAAAATTATCAGTAAGTGAAAAAACATTACCTTCACAGTATAGTTCTGGTCTTCAATTCCATCACCCAAACTCTGTACCAGATGTATTTTGGAATTCATCCTTTTGCATATTTTTAAAAGCTATCTGTGTGTATTTTGTAACCCACAGCAGAGTTGGGGGCATCACCCTTAATCAAACATGTTAATATTTCTGCGGCAATAGACCCGAACAGTCATACAATTAAGAGTATTACAGACTACAAAGAGCCTTACATCCATTCAGATCAGGTTTCATCACCCAATTAAGTTGTACCCTACATAATAAAAAAAAGTCTATTTTTTCAGAGCTGTCTGGATTTTAGAATTATGAATAAATACTTTTGGACCTGAATATGCTTATTCTGGCACTGGTTACAAACATTAGAGGAAACTTCAAAATCATGCTGACCATTCATTGTTATAATTGATTTTAAGCGTCTTAGAGTATTAGAAACTGGAAAGACAATACAGAAACCTGATCTAAGTCAGTTGACAAAAGTGAAATCCAAGTCCTTCCTTCCTCTTCCAAACCTTAGATCAGTATAGCAGAAAGCAAGTACTGATTGATGACTGGAGAGCTTCATCCTCAGGAAGTAAAAAGGTGGTGAGAGACATAGGTTTTTCTAATATTTTATTTTATTTTAGAGTTATGGGATATGTATGAAGCTTTATAACATAAGTAAGTTGTGTGCAGGTGAGCTTTGAGCTTCTAGAGGGTCCTCTCTTCCCCTGACAGTGGACCTGGTACCCAGGATATCTGTGTGCTCAAGTGCTAGCAATTAGCATTATCCCTCTTCCCTTCTTCCTTTCTTTATCAGTGTCCAGTGTATATTGTTCCCACCTTTGTGGTCATGTGACCATGACGGGGGCCCACTTATGAGTGAGAACATGCAGTATTCAGTTCTTTGTATCTATGATAGTTTACTTAGTTTGATGGTCTCCAGCTGCATCCATGTTGCTGCAAAGGACATAATTTTGTTCTTCTTTATGGCCGTGTAATTTTCCATTTCCTTATCCAGTTCAGTTTAGATGAGCATTGGGGTTGATTCCACGTTTTTGTTATTGTGAATAATGCTGCAGTGCACATATGTGTGCAGGTGTCTTTTTGGAAGTGCAGTTTATGTTCCTCTGGGTATATTCCCAGAAGTGAGATTGCTAGATTGAATGGATTTGTCTTTGACATTCTTCCTCCCCCATATTGATCCTATTTGCTTTGACAACTCCTACATAAACCAATAGGATCATTAATTGTCTTGCAACATTAATTTGAGGAAGGCCCATGCAATTCTTGTCAAGATCCCAGAATAAGACTGGCAGTAAGTAAAATGCATTCACTCTTGAGGCTTATGACTTCTAGAATTGACATTTGTTCAGAATTTAAAAAGGTTTTCAGGAAGTTTGATATCTAAGAGCCTGCAAAAAATGGAAATGGAAACATCATTTTTCAGGAGAAAAGTAATACAACAAAACCGCTTACTATCTCTAAATTGTCTCAGAGTCACCAAATGTGGTGCATTTGTTCAATAGCTGGCGATCATTAGTTCAGAGAGACACTAACTGGAAGAAATGCTGAATAGACAGTGGAACAGGAAGAAAGAATATTTAGAGACTAGGTAAATGTTGCAGTAAAAATGTTCACTCACAAAAATCTGTGGAGCAAAATTGGTTTTCCTCTAATTTGTTGAGGTTGCTAATCAATTTTTTTATTTTTATTTTTTTTACCTATACACCAGAAGTTGTCCTTCTGCAGGGGGGAGGGATGGGGCAGGAGAAGAGCCTGTCATCATTTGTCTACAGTAGACATCAATGTGATCGGCAACACTTGCCTAAACATAGCAACTCAGGCAAGTTTCATTCAGATGGCCACCATGTAGGCAAAGCCATCCACAGTGTGAAATACTTTTGTAAACACTCAGACTGGTAGCACTGCATTCAAGATGTACCCAGGATGTAGCTGTTCCTCTTTTTTTCATTGAGTATATCATTATCTCCTAAGGAGACAAGTTCGTCTTACAGAACACTTTTTGCCCTCTTAAATC